GTGTTAAATATATGATTTATTGGAACTAAGCTGAAAAAATAAATATGAAGGTCAGTTAAGTGATAAAACATGAGGGAAAGTTCTGTTTTTTAATTTATTTGGTGCATTTTAAATGTATTTATTTATTTAAAAGTTAATTTTTCCATTTCTGCTTTTATTTTTAATCATGTCAGTGTCGGTCCTCCGTACTGCAGAACATGAAGAGGTGGTTCAGTGGCTGAATCTGGTGAAAATTTAAAACATGTAGCACTGCGGCCCTCGAGGACCATGATTGTCCAGAACCTCCTAAAACCGGGCCAGAAAAGGTCCAGAAGACTCGGACTTTACACAGGAAGTGACACGTGTGTGTGTGTGTGTTCTCGTCATGCAGGCGGCCTCGCTGACCGTGGACCTGTGTGGGGACGACCAGGAGCCGGGTCACTGTGCTGTGAGCAACGTGGCGGTCCACACCGACTGGTAGGAGAACCGGACCAGAACCTGGTTCTGTTTTTTACTCACATTTTAAACGGTTTGAGTATTTGTGAGAGAAACCGTGTGTTTGTGGTCTTTCTGTGAACCGGCAGGATTCTGGACGTGCAGCCCAACCGGCTCTCCGTGGGAGGGGTCCGGTCCGTAGAACCCGTCCTGCACCGGCGCGGGCAGATCGCCACGCACGACTTCGTGGGCTGCATCATGGAGCTCGCCGTCAACGGGCGCCCGCTGGAGCCCAGCCAGGCGCTGGCGTCCCGCGGGGTTCTGGACAGGTCCGGTTCTTCTCGTCTCTGTCTCTGTCCTGATCCTGTCCTCTCTCCCGCTGCGGGACAAACGGGCTCAGAAGGTTCTGCCTCTGAGTGGCGAAGTCCAGAAAGTTCTTCTTTTTCTTTCTGAGTGAATAAGCGGGCCCAGACGGGTCCATTAATATGCTAACGCTCCGGGTTCTGAGACACAAATCAAAGCTCATCTGCCCCGGTTCTGTCGGACCCGAGTGTCAAACGGCCCGTCTGGTTTCTGTTCTCAGATGTCCGAGACTGGAGGGAGCCTGCAGCAGCGGTACCCCCTGCAGACACGGCGGAACCTGTTTGGACCGCTGGTCCTGGCAGCAGTGTCGGTGTGTGGACGGCTTCACCGGGAGGTTCTGTGAGAAATGTAGGTCTGGACTTCTGAGTGTTTGGGTCCAACAAGTCCTGATGGGTCCTGAGTCTGTAAAACTGCATCATGAAGCCTGAAACGGGCCTGATCAGAACCTCCAGCTTCTTATAATCCTGAAAACAAAAAAAAAGCTAAAAAACAAAACAGTTTCAGCGACGCTTTGAGTCCAACTTTTAACTGTAAAGATTTTTATTTTTACCAGAAGTTTGACCCGAAAACTGGAAACAAGTTTTATTTTTCAGGTTCAGTTTCTGAGCGAGTTCTAACCGGTTCTGTCCGAGACATGAGCCGAAATCATTTTTTAATCTTCTCTCAACGAATAACCAGCTGCAGAATTCAGATTGTTTAAATTGGTTTGACTAAATGCAGCTAAAAAAATAGCTAAAACTGAGCGTTTAAAGCTAAAAGTAGCTAAAAGTACCAAATACATCATGTAGCGAAAGCCTGGCTAGATGTGAATAACAGCAAAATGCTAATTTTGCGAAAAAGCTAAAAGCTAAACATAGTTAAAGACTGGATTATTCGTAGCTAAATGCAAGCTAAAAGTAGCAAATGTCTTACTAAAAGCTAAAAGGCGCAAAAACCTAGCTAAATGCTAAAAAGGCTAAATGGTACCTAAAATTATGAAAATGCTAGCCAAAGCAGTAAAAGGCTAGCAAAAAAAAGTTGCAAAAGGGTGATTTAAGGTTATTAGTAGCTAAATTATTGCTTAAAGTAGCATATGGCTAAAAGCTAAAAGTAAGCACATAGAAGCAAGAAACAACCTGAAACCCATCAGAAGCAAAATGCTAACTAAAAGCTAAAAGGAGCATAACTCTAGCTCAGTGTTAAAAAATGGTTGCTAAAGTTGAAAGTTGCAAAAATACTAGCTAAAGCAGCAAAAAGGTAAAAGAAAGAAAAAGTAGCTAAAGGGTAGCTAAAAGCAGGAAAACAGATAGCTAAATCTTAAATGTGACAAAATGTCAGCTAAAAGCTAATAATAGCAAAAAGCTATCAAAAGGTTGTGAAACACTACCTAAAGGCTATTACTAGCACAATGCCAGCTAAACACTAATAGTAATAAAAGCCTAGCTAAAGGCAAAAAGCAAAATACCAGCTAAACGCWAACAGTAGCAAAAGGCTAGCTAAAAGAAAAAGTAGCAAAAGGTTGGTTTATGGTTATTAGTAGCTAAAGTTAAATGTATCAAAATGCAAGCTAAGGCATGAAAACGCTAAAAAAATTAAAYGTAGCAACTCTGTAGCTAAAAGCAGCAAACAGATAGCTAAATCTTAAATGTGACAAAATGTCAGCTAAAACCTAACAATTGCAAAAAGCTAACAAAATGTTGTGAAACACTACCTAAAGGCTATTACTAGCACAATGCCAGCTAAACACTAATAGCTAAAAAGGCTAGCTAAAGGCAAATAGCAAAATGCCAGCCAAATGCTAACAGTAGCAAAAGGCTAGCTAAAACCTAAAAGTAGCAGAAGTCAAAGCTAAAGTGAAAATGCTGATTTGAACCTGACGGTCCAGGAGAAGCAGAGCGAGTATTTTTTAAACGAGGATCTTCAGGTTTTCTGTGCTTCTCTCAGACACTTCGGCGGACACGGCCCTCTCTCTGGACGGAACCGGACGCCTCGACTACTTCCTGAAGGAGGGTCCTAAACGAGACGCGCTGCTGAGGCGGTCGCTGCAGGGCGTGGCGTCGGGTGTGGTCGGACCCAGCAGCCTGGAGGTCAAGTTCAGGACGCGCAGCAAGAGCGGCACTCTGCTGCACATTCAGGAGAGCAGCAACTACACCACTGTGAAGGTACGAGGCCGAAATCATCTTCTTCTTTCTGCTGTTCCCTCCTCAGGGGTCTGCAGTGGGTCGACCTCCATTTGTCTCTGTCCTCCTCTGTCCATGTCCTCTAACTGCATCCATATCTCTCCTTTGTCTTTTCCAGAAAAGGTTTGATGAAAGCTAAAGATAACAGAAGGCTAGCTAAAAGCAGCAAAAGGCTGGCATGAAACTACTGGTCCCAATAGGCTAGCTAAAAGTGTTAAATTGTTTAGCTGAAAGCTAGCAGTCAAAAAAGGCTTGCTAGAATCTAAGAAAAGCACAATCTCGAAGCTAGCCAAAGGCTAAATATATTGAAAGAGTAGCTACATTAGCTGAATGTTAACAGTAACAAAAGGCTAAGTAGTAGCTAGTTCATACCAAAGGATAACTAAAAGTAACAAAACGTTCACTAAAAACTGCAAAACAGTATTTTAAAGTAGCTCCATAAAAGCAGCAAATGTCAGATGAATGCTAACAGTAGCAAAAGGCTATCTAAAATAAACAAAAAGCTAGCTAGAAGTTAGCGTATGAATTAACATAGGGTTACCTAAAAGCTTCAAAATATTAAAATGTAGCTAGCTCAAAGCTAAACGTTTTGAAAGCCTTGTTAAGTAATAAAAGAYTAACTAAAAGCAGCAACATTAGCTGAATGCTAACAGCAACAAAAGGCTAGGTAGTAGCTAGTGCTTACCAAAGTATAACTAAAAGTAACAAAACGTTAACTAAAAACAGCAAAATAGTATTTTAAAGTAGCTCCTTAAAAGCAGCAAATGCAAGATGAAAGCTAACAGTAGCAAAAAGCTATCTAAAGTAAGCAAAAAGCTAGCTAGAAGTTATCTTATGAATTAACATAGGGTTACCTAAAAGCTTCAAAACATTATTTAAATGTATCTAAAAAAAACAACTCTAAATGTAGCTAGCCCAAAGCTAAACTTTTTGAAAGCCTTGTTAAGTAATTAAAGGCTAAAAGCAGCAACGTAAAGCTGAAAGCTAAAGGTAACAAATAAACAACTAAAACAAGCTAAAAGCTAGCTTAACCATGTCGTGGCAAGTTTATCAAGAATGCAAAAACACGTTGGAAATAAATGCAGAGAAAGTCTGCGTGTACGGTCGTCAATAATTTAATTCTGAGCGACAAACAAACAGAACTCAATCAGGAAACTCTGTCAGCTTGTGGCTGACACGTCAGCGGAAAGCAGCCAATAATATAACATTATGTTAACACCATGTGACGGTTTACAACCAATCACAGATCGACGAATGTACTGCCCAGCCAATCACAGGGCTCTCAGCTCAAAGAGTTTCTTATCAAMCAAGAGAGGTCMATCCCTCGCTGGAGTCCTGTTGTCTGGGCCAACACAGATTAACAGCCGAAAACTGGTTATAATAAGATATGGTAACTGGACAGTGTCAAGGTAGAACAGATTTAAAATAATTCATCCATAACAACCATATTATTCTTCTTTTGGCGGTTCCACAGTGAGTCAGCCTCCATCTCACTCTGTCCTCACTCCAACTGCCTCCATGTCCTCTCTAACTGCATCCAACAAGCTAAAGTTTAAAAGGCTAATCAGCGTCTCAGAAAGCTTTTATTTTTGCTGTTTGCACTGATAGAAAACCATCCACACATGTTTTTATTTATCTGTAATGTAGTGACTTAATGTCCCATGCTAACGGTTACATTAGCATGCAGAACGAGGCTGCGGTCCGAGTCTTAAATTTATTTCCTCCGATGTTTTTAATCCCCACGTTATTAAATTTGCACAGAACCAAACCTAAACTTCCTYTCAACACTCAGAAAAAAAAACTTCATGAGTGTCTAACTTTACAGACACTAAAACCAAAAACATTAAAATCACACAGAGCGTTAAAATCCCCCAACCGCCTCGTAATTAAAATTAATCAAAGAGGGGGAAAAAAGAAAGAAAAAAAAAACAGGAAGTGGGTCAAAATCCAAACCTCAAAGATCTGAGATGAAAATCTTCACCGTGGAGATCTGAAAAACTATAAGAGCTGATAAACATCTGTGCTCTGAACCAAACAGCGCTCCTCCAGATGTGCAGCTTCATCATAACATGACATCAATGTACATATAAGACCCTTTAAAGACGTGTAAATATCAGGTTTAACTGACTGTCGGTGGTATTTCCTGCTATGCTTTGTTAAGAGAATAAAAGCTTTCCAGATTCAGATTTTGACCTGATTGGAAGAATCGTAACGTGGTTTTATTTTACAGATAAAAGTAGGCAGGTTAGCTCATCAGAAAGGCTACATTGGTATGCTTGTTTGTCTTTGTGTTTATGGTGTATAATGATGTGATTGTGATGCTGTGTTTCTGAGTGTTTATGTGCTACAGGAAAATAATAATTTGCAGAACTGTACAGGAACAGCTAAATGCTAACCACTAAGACAACTGTCACAGTCTGTCACTTATTCGTCTCCTCAAGCATAAAACTGGTGGGACAGACACAAACCTGTTAAAGTTAGCATGTTGACTAACTGTTAGCAGACTTAAAGTTGAAAAACCTAGTATAGCTGAAGCTAACTGGTCCACTAACGGTTTTCAAAGCTGGTTCAAAAGCTAATCTGCTACATGAAAAAATTTTTTCGCTATTATCTGTTAGCTGATTAGCAGAATCATGCTAACCACTGAGCTATTGCTAATGCAAAACAGTTTTGTAACAAAGAAAAAAAGAAAGCAAATGAGCAGAAGCTAACACCTACAGCTAACCGCCAAGACAACTGCCACTTAGTCTGCATCACGTCTTCGTCTCCTTTGAATTGAAGACTGTTAACTTGTTAGCTATCTGTTAGCAGGCCTAAAGTTGGAAAAACCTATATTAGTTCAAGCTAACTGGTCCACTAACAGTTTTCAATGCTAGTGAAAAAGCTAATCTGCTAAATAAAAAAGTTTCGCTGTTAGCTGTTAGCCCATTAGCGGAACCATGCCGACCACTGAGCTGTCGCTAACGCAAAACTGTTAAACATGTAACAAAAAAAACTAACAGAAGCTAACACTAACAGCTAATTGCTAAATGCTAAGACAGCTGTCAACTCAGTCTGTGTCACATCTTTGTCTCGTTCGAGCTGAAGACTGGTGGACAAACCAGTTGATGTTAGCTTGTTAGTTAGCTGTTAGCAGGCTTAAAGTTGGCAAAACCTTATTTAGCAGAGGCTAACATAAACAGCTAATCGCTAGCCGCTAAGACAACTGTAACTCAGGCTGTGTCCAAAACGACAGGACGGGTCCTCCGGAGGACCCAGACTCCCCGGTCTCGGAGGGCCGGGTCCTTGGTAGACCG